TCATGCAATGCCCATGGAGGTCAGAAGAGGGCGTCAGATCCCCTGGAGCTGGAGTTATGGACAGCTGTTAGCTGCCATGTGGGTGCTGGGATTCGAACCCAAATCTTCTGTAAGAACAGCCAGTGTTCTTAACTGCTGAGCCATCTCTCCAGCCCCATAATATTTTAAATTTTTAATTAATATATTTTTGGTACAGAGAAGTATGAAATGGTGATTAACAAAAACATTCAAGTATACACTACATTATATTAAGTTAAAATTCTGTGAGAGATCTATATGCATCATCACTGTGCAATTTATATTTACTGGATTTATTTTTCAAAGTAGAAAGTAATTATATTTTCAGTCCACTGGGAAAGAATATCCTTTGCAGTTATTTATGCTTAAGATAAAAATATATTAGAAACCACACTAAAAATGTTTAGGAAGGGGTAGTTAATCAAAATTCCTTTAGAAGGTGTACAAGAAAGAATGCTATCCCAGAGCATGCTGTTCCACATGTGGGATGCTGCCCACTCCATTCCTCCTATGCTTCCAGCACCTTCCCAGTTGATACACCCATCAAAGTCCAGATTACAACCTCTTCTTCTTAAACTCATTCTTTGCCCTTCCCAGGATGATCTCTTGTCGAACACATGCTTTATAGAGCATTCACATGGACTATGTCCTTGGCACAAATAAATGCTTCTTGGACTAATTTTAAAAATAGATAATTATATGTTCAATCTCCCCGACTTTCAAGTAATTTTCATGGAAGTAGATTGTGCATTCATTGTCTTCATATCATTCCCTGTTCATTATAAACACTATGAACATACAGATGTATTAATCACCTAAGTTAATAATCATTAGAAACAAATGTTAATTTCATGCACTGCAGGACAATGCTCACTATCATTTAACATCTAGTTGGGATCCTTTTTAAGCAGGCATATTATCAATACTTTCCAATATTGCATGACTTTGAGATGGAAGAATTGCATTGAACTCTCAGTGAAACAAAGGCAAGAAGTTATTGCTCACAAAATTAGACTTGACAGTCAGGCCTGCCTTTGAGCTGAAGGAGCTGGCATGGCACTGCTTTACTGATCTTTAGTGAGATGCTAGGCTGTAAGAGCATCCAAGGAAAGAAAAGCAGCAGCAGTTATCACAAGAACCCCTCTCAAGGAGATTGCACAAATAAAAGAAAGCAAAAAGAAGCACACAAGGGCTCTTCCAGAGCTGAAATGACCAGCTGATACTTTGAATGGCATGCCACTAGCCTAAGCAAGACACGTGGTTGAGCATAATGCCCAGCCTGATACCAGGGGAGGCTGTAGATGCAAGGATGGGTGAAGAATTGGAATTCAAGCAGCTCTACAATGTCCAGGCATTTGTTCCTGCTGCTTATTCAAGTAAATAGCTCTAATTTTCAGCTCTATATTAAACTTATTAAAACTTAGAATCTGCTAGAAAAGGCAACTTATAGTTAGGCAGTATGAGATGGTTGTTATCCTAATCTCAGCTTCCCCTACTGTTCCTTAACTGTCCGTCCACTACAGTTGACTCATAATGTTTCTTCTCTGATAGAATAAATTCAATTAAGATGCACTATGTGCGTTGAGTTTTCCCATCAGCAGTACTCACAGCTCCATTTTCTGTTTTGCATCAGCAACGGACTTGTGGTAGGCCATCAGCACTCTCACAAATTGCTCTTGAAACAAACATCCAGATTTATAATCCTATTAATTAGTTACCAGTGTGATCTAGAACAGTGGACAGACTTTATGCTTTCACACTGTGGAGCTGTAGGTGTGAGGGTCAAATGTCCACGTTGGAGGCCTGGGCTCAGAGCCCTTGGTTGCACAGCATGCTGCTTACAGCACAGCGATTGTGCTCCTCCAGGGAGCAAAGGTGCACTTCGCAAAGAGCTAGGGGCTTCCCGTGCCGATACTGTATTTAAGCCTAGAAATCTAACTCAATTTGTTTAAACGAAAGGATATTCCTATTTATGAATTAAAACTTGCTTAATAAAAAATTTTGCTGGGGGGAAATGGTAGAACTTTTGAGAATGCCATGCTCAGATGCTAAATGTTTTTATGCTTATCTTGGAAAGTCTACCAGGAATAATAGGAGCCTGGGGGAATAAGGTTCCTGACAAGCACCGAGACAGCTGGAGCAAAAGGCTTAAGTTGAAAGAGAATGGAGAGAGAGAGAAAGTCCCCAATGGTGATTCATAGAAGAAGAATTACATGCATAGGTTATATTGCCCCCCTGAGATGCTGTGTTCTCAAATAATTTAAATAGTTGGTATTATAGTCATTGGCTCTTCGTTCACTACGGGACGTTAGGTAAGAGTTACCGCAGGGGAGCTAAGACTCCAGGAGCCAAGTTGGCCCCACGTGTCTTACTTCTTACTTGCTGCCTTTCTGTTTTGTGCCCTAGCAGTGCCCTAGCAGCCAAAGAGTTTACAAGACCCTCCCAAGGCACGCTTTCTGCCAAGAAACTGTGCAGAGAGTGAGCAGGCCCTTGCTTCTGTTCCCGATTAAACCTACACGTGTGAGGTGACGGTGACATGAACCGAGGTCCCGCTCTCCCGGCTACAGAGGGCTTCCCTGCATCAGCTATGGTATCTCCCCTCTGACTCATTCTGCTTCTTTTCAGGATCAACATTTTGGGGATGGATCCCCTAAGCACACCTTTTGACAATGAGTTCTATAATGGATTCTGTGACAGGATACGGGATGGAAATACTTTGACATACTACCGAAAACCTTGGAACGTAGCTGTTCTGGCCTATGAAGTAAGTCTCCTCCTGAGAAAACGCATTGCTTTTCTTTTCTTTTTACTAAAAGTTACTTTGATAAGCTTAATAGTAGATACAGTGAAAATTCCAATACAATAAGAGTTTAAAGTGAACTTGGAGCTCACTTAAAGAAGAGAAGAAATAGCTCAGACCTCTTTAGAGAGAGGGCTCTTGGGTTAAGAACAGTGACTGCTTTTTTTTTTTCCCCATTTTTTGTCTTTTTGAGACAGTCTCCCTGTAGCTGACAGGCTGGCCTCCATCTCGCAGAGATTTGCCTGCCTCTGCCTCCCGAGTGCTGGGATTAAAGGTGTGCACCGCCACACCTGGCAAGAGCACTGGCTGCTCTTACAGAAGACCTGGGTTCAATTCCCAGCACCCACAAGACTGGCTAACAACCTTCAGTAACTCCAGTTCCAGGGGATCCTATGCCTTCTTCTGACCTCTGTGGGCATTGTATGACATGTGTGCACTTACATGCAGGCAATATACTTAAAAAATAAAAATACACATAAGAAATAAAGTTAATAAATAAAATATTTTGTTCTAAAAAGAAACATGAAGTAGTCTCTCATCAGTCTTCAGTTGCATTCATCTGGTGATAAAGATTTGGAAAGATACTTAGATTCTGTAAAAAAAAAAAAAAAAAAAAAGCTGGGGGCAACCAAGCTTCTGAAATGACTCAAAGTAAAATTAGGATTGATTTGATTAGTGATTGAAGTGGTCAAACTTCCCCCATGCTACTTGAATTCTCTCTCTCTCTCTCTCTCTCTCTCTCTCTCTCTCTCTCTCTCTGAAAACTCATTTTTCTCATTTTTTTTCATTCAGTATCCTCCTAGGTAGAGGATGTTTGACTAATGTGAGGAACTATTTTCACTCACCTCAAATATCCAGAGTGATACCACCCCCATTCAAAAAACGAATTTTTTTGCCTTCTTTTATCAAAGTAAGATACAATGAGGAATAATAATTAGCTTATTCTGAACTAAGGTGTTAGCATCTGTTCCCTGGGCTGGTCCTTTAGTGAAGAAGGTTCATTATGTCTTCTTCGTTTAGTTGCAACAAAGTTCTTACTGCTGATGTCAGTCCCACTAGACTATAAAATTTATAGACTCTTAGATAAGTATAGATAATATTATTTGAGAAAAAAAACAATATTCTAAATAAATCCCTTCCTATTTCAGTCTGAAGTGATCCTGTTCACCTGTAAATACTAATGACCAGATCAGCACTTTGTTCACAAATTGACCACACTATCATATTCTCTGCAACTATAAATCCAGAATAAAATAACTAATTTCCCACAAATCTGCAGGAAAATTTTAAGACTGTGCTCTCTCCCTGTACTGTCATGTTTGCCTCTTTTAAGCACAAAATTTTGTGAGGAAAGGCCACAGCCAATCTAAAACAAGTATTTTTCTGATCTGGACAAACAGCTCAACTGGTAAAGGCACTTGTCACCACGCATAGTGTCCTAAGTTCAATCCATAGGATCCACGTGATGGAAGAAGGCAACAGACTCCCACAAGTTGTCCTCTGACCCTCCCCACACACACACCATGGTGCACAGTGCCTCCACACACACAAACACATAAAATAAAGTTTTTAAGTGCTTTTTAAAGTAGAATATGCCAAACATAGCACTGCTGGCCTTTGCCACCAGGTAAAAGGTGATTGTTGTGTTGTCTTATTTTGTTTTCAACTCTAAAGTCTGCACTTTATAGTTTCCCTGCCTTCACCACCGTTAGGCTCCAGGTGAGAAGTATATGAGATATCCCCCATGGGCTCATATGTTTAAATACTTGGTGCCTAGCTGGTGGCACTGTTTTGAGAGATTATGAAGACTTAGGACATGGAGTCTGGGTTAGAAGAAGTGGGGCACTAGGTGGGAAGATATGGCCCAACCCTAGTTCAACCTAGAGTTTCTGCTTTCTGCCTTTCTGAAATGAACAAGCTGCCAGCTAATGCTCCCACTGCTACAGTCCAAGCTGTTCTCACTACCCTGCTCTCCCCACCATTAGGAACCCACTGCAGCCTCTGAAACTACGAGCCAAAATAAACCTCTCCTCCCCTAAGTTGTCTATGTCAGATATTTTGTCCACAGTGATTAAAAAGTGACTAATACAATCTCTGTGACCAGCTTCGTAGCTCCTGTATAGAGGTGGTAACATGTGTGGCATGGACTAGTAAGGGCTGGGTGGCCAGGACTCTTCTTCAACCTATGTCAGGACAGTAAGTAAATACACTGATTTCCCCTTGTTCCAACTCTGGAAAAAGATATGGCTCAACATTTCAGAATGTTTTAGATTTTAGAAGTCATTGTACATGCCCTGTATGTTACTTACACCCCCGGGGTTATTTGGAGCAGTATCCCATAATCAAACAGTTATGCTTTCTGTTGCAAGACTAATCTATGTTCACATGAAGTAGAATAAATGAAGGTTATAAATCACTTTTTATTAGTTCAGGTGGTATTAATGCCTTCAAATGAGTTTTTCCATCAAGGTTAAAAAAAAAGTAGGCAAGAATGTAGACTTGAGTACTTATTTGGTACCAATCATGGAAGAGAGCTATTTGAGTTAAAGAGGTCCTTGCTTAAAGCATGGAATCACCATTGCCCGAGATCCCCTTAAACACAACTGTCATGGCCTTCGAAAATGAGTAGTCATAATTTGTCATAATTGTACATAAGTGAACATGAATTTATAGGAAAGGAAATCTCTATTTTAATTTCTTACAGAGGACTTTTTTCACATTCAAATGATCAATAAGATAAGGCATCTCTTGTGTATCTGTACTAAACCTGTTAACTGCATTTCCTTATTTCCCATTACCAACTGCACACATGTGTAGACTAGGAACTCACTGATTATATCAGATGAACTAAGCTTTGTTACATGTTTTATTTGTGCATGACGTGGAGTGTGCATAAAATTCAGAGAACAAATTGTGGGAGACAGTTCTCTCCTGCCATGTGGGTCCCAGAGATGAAACAGGCTTGACAGCAAATACCTTTACCCATTGATTCATTTTGCCAGCCCACACGAATTAACTTGTATTCTTTGTTTTAGTTACCTATTGGCAATAAATCATCATTTTTATTACTCAAAAGAATTATGTAGCTCATTATGACATATTCTTATATTTATATTACCTCATGTAATGTCTCTTATCTCAAATGGTCTGTGGTTGAAAAGCCACACTGCATGGTGAGGAACTCTGAAGCTATGAGATCTTGGATAAATTACTTATCACTGTGACTCAATTTCTTTATGTAGAAAACAGAAATAGTATTGCCTACCTTGTGAGTATAAATGGATCTAAATATGTAAATTTCTCAGAGTTACTGGTGCATAGCAAGCACTCAATAAATATTCACTACTACTTTTAGAACATAGTGAAAGGCTTAGCCAAAGATGATACTTTATTAGTGTCATGTAATAGATCAATATGTACTGACACATAAATTTATAAGTCAGAAATTGTGACTGAAAGCAACCAAAGTATATGAAAATGAGGAAGGTGAAATGTGATTATATTTACAAAACAGACCCCTTTCCACTTGTTTTCCTTTGGCTCACCCCTTACTGTTGTTGAAAGCAATAATTTGTATGTTTAAATCAGGTTCCATGGTTTTATTGTACTCTATTAACCCAGATTCCTGGATGAGATCTGAGGACTTTGGTATCAGACTTTCCCCATCAAAAATGTACCACTCAAAGACTCAGGTTCAGGCCAGTCACTGCTGATACAAGACCTAATATAACCTAATACCAGGCCTGCATTCGCAGCCTTGAATTTTAGGTTCACCCTGTCACCAATGGGTTCCAGTGAATATAAGTTCCTACTCTGTGTAGGATCAGGCAGATGATGCCAGTCTACAAATCAGGTCCTTTAGACTCACGTATCTTATCTGATATGAATTAACTCACTGAATCCCATAACAACCTTTGGGCCAGGTATAATAAGTATCTCTGTTTTCTAGCCTGAAAATCAGACTATGCACAGAGAGGTTATTAAGTAATATCTTCAAGGTGGTGGTAGACTGTGATGGTTAGTTTTGTCAGCTTGATATAATCTAGAATCACCTGGGAAGAGAGTCTTAATGAGGGATTGTCTAGACCAGGTTGGTCTGTGGTCATATCTGTGGAGATTATCTTGATTACATTAATTGATATGGGAAGATACACACTAAAAGTGGGAGGCATCATTCCCTGGGTTTGAGTTGTGTAAGAGTAGAGAAAGCTAACCGATAAGTGAGCATACATGCATTCATCCTCTCGGTCTTGACTGTGGCTGTGACTAGCTGCTTCAGATTCCTTCCTTGGCTACCTCACAATGATTGACTGTAACTTGGAATTGTGAGCTGAATAAACCCTTACAAGTTTTTTTTTTTTTTTGACAGAGTATATTATTACAGCAACAAAAATGAAACCAGGACAGAAATTAGTACAGAGGCAGTGGAGTCATTGCTCTGGTAGACTTATGCCAATTGAATGTTTTATGACTGGAATGTGGAAGCATTTGGAACTTTGGGTTAGAAAAACTGGGAGCAGAGATTAATGGGCCATTTATAGTGGGACTTGGAAGTCCATAATGCTAAGAGAAACAGACAGTGTAGGCCTGGCTCATGAGGTTTCAGAGGGGATTAAAGACTCTGTCAGGAACTAAGCAGCGCCCCAGAATCTGGCTTCATTCTACCTGCGAACTGAGAACCTGAGAGAAGTTGAATGTGAAGATAATAGACTGATTTGTTTGGCAGAGGAAATTTCAAGGCATGTTGGTATTTAGTTTGGTGCTAAAGAAGCAGCTATAATTGATGGAAAGATCAGTGCTATCTTGTATAAACTTCTTGCACTATACTGAAACAATAGAAAAATATTTCTTCAGGGTCATCACATAGAAGCTTACATACCTGTGGTCCAAGAGGGCCAGGCCACTTTTGAGGAACAGGTCCAGAACATGGCAGCATTTTAAGAATCGTTCAAATGGTATCAGTTTTGAAGGCATGAAAGACACAAGATTGAGGGGGTCATGGAGAACATTTGAGGTTAGGCACTGTGTGGCAGGGTCAGAAGACCTGAATAGAAGCCCCGAGAAGCCATTGCATGAATCTGCAAAGGTGACATTTCAGTGCAATGGAGAACCCACAATAATTGAAATGCCAGCACCTTGGGATGTCCATCAAGGAGAGCTGCAGGTATGGAGTGGAGCTTCCCTAAGCCTAAGAGGAAAGCTATGTGTGCTGTATGTGGCAGGGCTGGAGGAGTAGAGCTACCAAGCTCTTTGGAGCCTAGATGATTACATTGTGAGCCCTAGAGGTTGAACATGGAGCTGTGGATTTTGGTGTTTTTCCCTGTTGAATTTTGGTTTTGTTCAGGTGTGATTATTTGCACCAGTTCTTTTCTCTTGGAATAAGAATATTTATTCTGTGGCATTATATGTGGGACGTACATAGCTTTTATTTTTTCTTTTGTTTTGTTTTTAATTTCATAGGAGCTCACATTTAAGAGACTTTGGCCTTTTGTTTTTGTTTTAATCAGGTCTTACTATGTAGCCCTGGAAGGCCTGGAACTCACTGTGAGCTCAAACTCACAGAGATCCACCTGCCTCTGCCTCCTAAGTGCTGTGATTAAAGGTGTTATGAAATAAACATGAGACTTTGGGGACAAGAGGTAGAAGGTTATAGCTTAATGGTGATGTGTTTGTGTGTCAAGTTAACAAGGGGTGGAGTTATGATGATTAGTTTTAATTGTTCACTAGAATCATCTGGGAAGAGAATCTCAATGAAGGTTATACAGATCAGGTTGGTCTATGGAGATAGATATAGATAGATATAGATATAGATATAGATATAGATATAGATATAGATATAGATATAGATGGGTTTGTCTTGATTACATTAATTGACATAGGAAGACCCAGCCTAAAAATGGGCACCGTTCCCTGGGTTTGGGTCTTGAACTGTATAAGAGTCAAGAAGCCAAGCTGAGCAGATTCACGCATGCACTCATTCTCCTCATGCCTTTGACTGTGCATGTGACTAGCTCCTTCAGATTCCTCACCTGACTTACAATGATGGGCTCTAACCTGCAATTGCAGGTGAGTAAACCTCTCTTCCTTAAAGTTGCTTTTGTGAGGGTATTTTTTTTAATTATTTAATAACCACATACTTAGAAGAAGTATTTCATTACAACAGCATTGAAATATTCAATAACAATTTCCTGAGCTAAGATGCATTTCTTTCAAAATGGCTGTAAATTTTTAGGTTTACAGTTAAATTATTACAGTTATATAATATTGTACTCAATATAAACCCTATAAGACATAAAATTAAATGCATATTTTTTTTAATTATTTAATAACCACATACTTAGAAGAAGTATTTCATTACAACAGCATTGAAATATTCAATAACAATTTCCTGAGCTAAGATGCATTTCTTTCAAAATGGCTGTAAATTTTTAGGTTTACAGTTAAATTATTACAGTTATATAATATTGTACTCAATATAAACCCTATAAGACATAAAATTAAATGCAGTTTTAACCTTTTAAAAAGATCTCAATTTCATTATTAAAATACACAATTTCATACAGAAAAATTCATTTTCAATGCAATTGACAAGATGTTTGCAAATGCGTTTCTAATCTCTATATATTTGATTTTTACTAGTGACAGTTGGTTGCTTTCTGAGCTCCTTGGCATCTGAGCATGGATATAAAGTCATCAGGTAGATTTCAATGGTAATGTTTATCACCTCTACTAATTAACCTGACGTAAATTTCCATGCTTCCTCTTCAAATATAATACATTTTTTTAATTTGTTGATTTGTGTGTGTGTATATTATACACAACATCCCAAACCATCTTATTCAACAATACACCCACTTCCCAGATGGCACCCTCCCATAGCCTCCCTCCCAACATTAGAGCCCTTATACTCTGATATTTCTGCTACTATCTGCTGTGTTGTCAGCACCTCCAGCCATTCCCCAATACTTGCCCTTCTGGTGAATCTAGTCAGCCTATCTAGAGGTCTTTGTTTTAGGAGGGTCAGCTGTTCCTCATCTAGCAGCAATCAGTTGTCAATATTCCTTTAGATAAGATTGGGGTCTGCTGTTCATTTTCCCAGTTCTATGCTGGGTTACTATCTGGAAGTCCCTTTAGCCACCCTGGCCAACAATTCAAAAGAAGGTATTTCCTATCTGGCACTGTTGCTTGTTATGTAGCCTTTAGCTATGCATATGAACTCTTAAGAAATCATATTGGCCCCTTTAATCTTTGGTTATACTTTCCTTTGGGTGTTTAAGGCCATACAGTTGGTCCAGATAAAACCGATTTATTTTTACTCTTAATGTCGTTTGAGGATCTGTTCCTCAGGGGTCACATGGGCTTGGGAGGAGCCCCTGTATACGTTCTTTGACCAGTTCCACCTATGTGAAGGTAAGTCAAAGGTCCTGCTTGACCGTGGTTGGCTTCGCTTAGAAGCATGGAGGAAATGATTCCTCTGTGTTGACCCTCCTCTTTGTAGACTGGACACTGGTTCAAGTCCATCTGGTGGGGTCTCCACGGCCTCCTTGATCAAGAGGACAGGTGACCCACCACCATTATAGGACATGTTGAGAGATGCCCATAGTCCCGTGGATCTAGTCAACCTAGGAGGGCAAGGAGCAAACACTGTCCTTTATGTCTCTCTGACCAAATTAGTATAGGCTGCAAAGTATGTCTGTTAAACATGCAAGAAGGTTAGTTCCACCAGTCTGGTACTTTTAATTACTGTGTGTCATGTAAATAAATCTTGGGCAAGACCAGTTGTTCTCAGATAAACCTTACCTAGACATATATTTCTTGATCTGCTATGTATAATTTGTCAGTAGGTTGTAGGAGTAATATGGTTCCCTCTGGTTTTCAAAACTAGCTAGGCATTGTTTATCCCTCACATTGTCTCACCCCTCCATCATGGTTTTCCCACTTAAGGTGCCTCCATTTCCCCCCTTTCTCCCTTACTAATACCCTTCTCCTACAGTCCTACCTCTCTTGAGCACTTTCTTTCCCTTTATCCCCTAGGTTACTTGAATAACCTTCCCTCCCCCCTCCCTGAAACTAATCCAATTTTTACCCATATCTCCCTTATTAAGGCCAGTTTCCTACTGTTCTTCTCTTTCGGGTTCTTTCTATTCCTTTAACCTCCCTGGTTCCTTTCCATTATCCTGGATCCTGTAGTTATCTCTAGATACATACTCACTTTATCAGGGTTTGGTTCTAGGATCCACATATGAGGGAGAACATGTGTTGATTTTTTTTTCTGAGTCTGTGTTACTTCACTTTGTATAACAGTTTCTAGTTCCATCCATTTACCTGCAAATTTCATGATTTCATCTTTCTTTACT